TAAAATTTTTCTCTTCCTCTTTTTAGAGTTGCTCATCTAGTATATTATCACTTCCTTCCATTTTCTCCCTTTTCATTTTGTTCATTCACATTCATATGTAAAGGGTATTAGTTATCACATACACAGCTCCCCATACTAAGTATGACACTCATCTATGTACCACAACATTCTATATGTATCCAATGCTCTTATTGTCTTAATCTCTGCTTTAAGCTACCTTCACATTGATTGTAATCTACATGCACTAGAGGTCTTATGTGGCTTCATTCTGTTTGGTCATTTAAAATCTTTCACAATCTCTAACTAGGGTCAGTACCTGTCATGATGTATAACTTTTCTAGTGAAAATTTTTGGCCTGGTGCTAAAAACTGATATATATATATATATTTCTTCAACCTCAATGGTAGACAATTCTCCATTTCAATGGAAAAATTGACTAGTTAGCATCCAATCTTACATGCTATAATGAGCATCAGAGATTTAATGTAGTATATGTGCAGTGTTAGGACTAATTGTTTCTATTATGCTTCCATAATACTGATAACCCCAAGTCATATATGTATGCTCTAATCCACAAAATGCCATTAATTTTGGTAAGAAAACAAAGAAGATGAATAAAATTTATCAATTATAAAAAAAAGGAATAAAATTACTTTGAAAACTTCACCTAAGTTATTCCTCAATTGACTATCCTTTTTGTGATGGTTGTTTTACAAATCAAGTGTGTTGAGCCCAATACCAATTTTGGAAATATTATAGATGGTAATAATATATTCTATAAATGTCATTAAAATTTGCAGATTTTGTGTAAAACAACTAACACTTCATAACATGAGCTTCATTCAGTCAGATGAAATTATTAGGGCAAGAGAAAAATATACTATAGAATTTTTTTTATCATTTTTACCTTAGATAGAAGTCTATAACCTCTACTCTTCTCAGAGTCCCCAATATTCTAGACAGTTTTCAAATGTCCACCTTATCAGTCGTTAATCTATTCAGTCAGTATCCTAAATCTCATGCATGTGCACACACACAAACACACACACATACACACACACAAGACTTGCCTCAAACATGCAGTACCCCTGATTTTTCTTAAACACTAGGATTACAGGTATGTGCCACCAACCCATTTCTACTTTACCTAGAAGTGGACAGTACCTTTGTGTTATGGAGGCATGTGTACATAGATCACAATCCAGAGAAATCATCATCAGCTGTCACCAATGATGGGCTAAGGGGGTACATATATTATTTAGATGCTAAGCCAACCATTCTCAAATTAAATAGCACCTAGAAATAACAAAGGATATATTTCTAATAGTTGGTTCACCTGAATATTATTTAGAACTATGTAGAAGAACTGGTTTTCATTATAGAGTTATCCTTTTATGTGAGCACCTCTATATATTATATCTTCCTTGATGGACTGCACTTAGGAACAAACACAGATGTAACCATTAAAGCACAGATTTGTGAACTTTTACAGATAAAATGGATCATCATCTTGGGTATGACACTGTTTAGAGTTTGCTAAGACCCTACAGTGGAAACTGCAGTAAAGCATTCAGCACTAGAACAGTGAACTCCATCTCACAGTGCTATTCTTGGATGGAAATGTTATGGTATTGAGAAAAAATTACATAATGAGTAATTGTAATGAAGCCATCAATACAAAAGCTGTTATGATCATGAAACACTCACAGTGTAATAAATTCTTTGAAGACAGTGAAAAGAAGACTGGTACTATACCTTGAAAGCTGTCCTGCATGGCACTCAAAATTCATGTGGATTGACAACAAGACAACAGTTTATTTTTCTGAATGTACTCAGCTCTGCTGAGGCTGAGTGATAGTTTCAGGATTAGGATCCTGCTCACCTCTATTTTATTTGCAAACATAGGAACTAGAGGCCGCTCTATTCATAACCTATCTGCTCATCCCTCCTCACATCCCTCTGTGACCATCCCAGGGTCTTAAGGGCCCTGCACCCCTTAGGAGACCAGATACTGTATAACTCATTAAAGACAGTAATTATCCACTTCCTCCCTAGGACAAATTTACCTCAGAGATCTCTAGTGGTGACCAATTATAGTCATTGATCACTCCTTCCTACACTAAGGGGAAGGCAGAATTTAAAGAACAACAACAAACAAAATAAATAAACATATGTGTGATGTGGGTTTCCCCCTCTGTACCATGAATATGTCTTATTATCATTGTTTAATAAAGAAACTACTTTGGCCTATGACAGGACACAATATAAGATGGCAGGAAAACTAAACTGAATGCAGGCAGAGTCAGGCATATGACATATAACTACTGGAGGAGAAAGGTACCAGGAAATTACTGGCAAGCCACAGCCTCATGGCGATGCACAAATTAATATCAATGTTTTAATTTAAGATGTTAGAGCTAGCTAGAAATATGCCTGGACTATTGGTGAGACACTGTTGTAATAAATATAGTTTCAATGTGATGGGAAGCCATTTACATATTCAGTCCCAAGAAAACTAAACAAGAGGAAAGATGCATACTCATTGCCTGTTCAAGTACTGTACAGGCTTCTGCTTGACCAGAGCCCACATTATTAAGTGGAGAAGTGAAGTAGTTGACTGGAAGACCCCCCCCTAAGTTATCAGACATTATTTGAATTGCTAATGACTTAGTCTTTCACAAAACAAGTTTACACAAGAAGCCATGGATAATTTTGAAAGTTTTGGCTGTTATCCTCACCTTTAATGGCAGTGCCATCTCCCCAGCCCATCCTACAGCAGTTTTTAGAGGGATGAAACTGTAGATAATCATACACACTATGATGGCTTCCAAATACAGCATTCCAACTCAACATGAATGACTAAAAGCAAAAGGATTTGAATAAATATACACAATATTTTGGGAATTCATCAGCCAGCATTCCAGTGTGCTAAGGAAAAGGGCAGGAATATGGTGTTGTTTTTTTTTCTTTTTTTTTTACTCTTTTTGAGTCCAGTCACCCAGCTCCCAAATAAATCACACCTGGAGGCTTATTCTTAATTATGAATGCCCAGGCTTAGCTTGCCTTGTTTATGTCATCTTATCTTAACCTAAATTATTATATCTACCTTTTGCTTCAGGGCTTTTTCCTTTTCTATTCCTGTACACATTTTCTTTCCTTCTTACTTTGTGTCTGGCTGTGTAGCCTCCGTTTTGCAAGCTGCTCGTTCAGATTGTTGGATTGCTGGATTTAATTTCTGCCCACTGTTCAAGCAGAGAATTTTGATTTGTGAGTTTACCCCTAAATAAGTATCTACTTCTCAATTCTGAGCTTTTGTGGGATTTCTTTTAAGCGTCTGTTCATCACTCATCAGCTAAGGAAATTCAAATCTAAACTACTTTGAGATTCCGTATTATTCATCTCAGGATGGCTAAGATCATTAACACAAGTAACAGTTCATATTGTTTAGGATTTGGAGCAAGAGGAATATTCATCTATTGATGGAGGGTGTACAAACTTATATAGCCAATTTGAACATCAATATTTCTGTTCTTCATAAAATTTTGACTTCATCTACCTCCAGACCCAGGTATACCTCTCTTACGAATATACTCAAAAGACATTGTATCCTATCACAAGGATACTTGCTCAAGTATATCTATAATGGCTTTATTCACAATAGCCAGAAATTGGAAACAATCTAGATATCTCTAAAATGAAGGATGGGTAAAAAATATGGCATATTTACATAATGGAGTATCTTTAAGTATTGGATTGGCCACTTGCCTTCTTGAACCATAACACATTTCCAGTGGAGGAATTGGGACACTAATCTATCCATATAGCGTTTGACCTAAGCTTTATGACTGAAAGATATGTTCTGACAATGGTGGTTTAGAGCTTATGTGATCGGCCAACCAAAGACTGGTCTAACTTTAGGTTTATGCCAATAGAGAGAGCCCATTATCTGCCTGGATGGCTAGGAAATGGAAGTTGAATGGCTCAGAGACCTAGGATAGATCCAAGCAAGCTCTAACCCCCAGTGAAATTATTCTGAATGGTAGTCTGCTATACTAATAGACTGGTGTCTATCTCAATTGTCACCAGAGAAGCTTCCTCTGCCAGCTGATGGGAGCAATGCAGAAAGCCACATACAAACTTTAGGTGAAGCTTGGGGAACCCCGCAAATGATGGGGAGAAAGGATTATAGGAGAGAGTGGATTGAAGACATCAGAGAAACATGGCTGACAAATCTACTAAGTAGATCTCATAGGGGTTCACAGAGACCGAAGCAGCAGTCATGGAGTTGGCATGGGTCTGCTTGAGGGACTCTGCATACATGCTGTGGTTGATTAGCTTGGGGGTTTTATGAGATTCATAACAGTGGTAGTAGTACATTTCTGACTCTTTTGTCTGTGCTTGGGATCATTTTTCTCCTACTGAGTTGTGTCTGTCAGCCTCGATATGAGGGTTTGTGCCTAGTCTTATTGCATCTTTTTATGCTGTGTTCCCAGGAGGCCTGGTCTTCTCTGAAAGGAAATAAAGAAGTGGATCTTTGAGAGAGGAGGGGTGTGGAAGGGGCTTGTATGAGTGCAGGGAGGGGGAGCTGTGGTCTGGATGAACTGTATGAGAGACGAATAAATAAATAAAAAAGATTATTGAGCATCAATATAGTTTCATGATGTATCATTTTTTCATATTTAAAAAGTATACTGTAGTCAACACAGAAATTTTTATAAAGTCAGAAAACATTGGGGTAACAAGAATGTATGAAAAGGAGATTAAATAAAACAGTGGCTCTTACCTAATGATTCTAGGATCACACATGAAAGACAGATGATGTCATCACTGAGTCACCAAAGCTCAATTCCCTAACTGAACTACTTTGAAAAACTCATACTTACAGTTGAAATACTATGTAGTATGTTAGTGAATGTGTGTCTCCTTTCAGAGGTATATTTTATAATAGTAATATCAATATATTTGCTAGATAAATTTAATTAAAATTCTCAGTGTTACCATTACAAGGAGATTTTCTTCTTGCAAAGGACTCTTATCAGGGCCTCTTTCATGTCTCTGTTCCTTAGGCTGTAGATGAAGGGGTTCAGCATGGGAGTCACCACAGTGTACATCATGGCCATGGCTGTCTCATTTACAGTGGAGGTATTAGTTGATGGACATAAGTAGACACCAATAGCTGGCCCATAAAACAGTGAAACCACAGACAGGTGGGAGCCACAGGTGGAGAAGACCTTGTGGATAACTCGAGTAGATGAAACTCTCAGGATGGAGGAGACAATTTGTACATAGGACATAATGATGAGCAAGAATGGAATGACACTAAAAAGCCCTCCAATGACAAATATTATTAATTCGTTAATATAAATGTCAGAGCAGGCTAACTTGAGCAGAGCAGTTATGTCACAGAAAAATTGGGAGATCACATTGTTTTCACAGAATGACAATCTAGATAGCAGTAGGGTATGCAATATGGAATACATCATTGTAAGTATCCAGCAGAACACAATCAGAAACACACAGAGTTTGGGGCTCATGATGCTGGTGTAATGAAGAGGGAAGCAGATGGCCACATAGCGGTCATAGGCCATGAGCACAAGAAGGAAGCTCTCCATGTCTCCAAAAACCAGGAAAAAGTACATTTGTGTCAGACAACCCACATAGGTGATGGATGGTTCCTGGTTCTGCATGTTCTGCAGCAATTTGGGCATTGTGACAGAGGAGAAACAGAGGTCAGAGAAGGACAAGTTGCTGAGAAACAAGTACATGGGTGTGTGGAGATGGGGATCCAGTAGAATAAGGATGATGATGATGAGGTTCCCCAGGACAGTGGTGAGGTACATGGCCAGGAACAGGATATAGAAAAGGTGCTGGTGCTCTGGTGGAATGGGCAGGCCCAGGAGGAAGAACTGTGAGATGACAGATTGGTTGCTCATCATTTTTCGATTCCAGTATCTTAATGAGAAAGTATCAGGGTTCCTTAAAATTCAAAATAAAATTGAATATATATATGGTGCATATTATCTAACAATGAATCCGTTACAGTAGTAGTTATAATCTAAAATTCCAAATGTCTGTAATTATTACAAGCAGTAATAATTTTTTATCAACCTCTCTTTAACAGGTTTCTATTCCTTTCCTTTCCTAGACACTTCTATGAATTTCTATTGAAATATGAAATGAACTAATGCTTCTCTCTTCTGCTGTCTGCACATCCTGGGTATCTTTGGTTCTTTGGACTCTTCTCTGTGTTATGTTGTATATTGATGTTCTAGAAGAATTTGGGTGAGCCTTATCATCATAACTTTATATAAACTCCAAGATAATCTTATATACTCTAATGCTTTAAATTACCATTTCAAGCTCAGGCATGCATGCCTCTGTAGCATTCAGATTTCTGCTCCACTGACAGCTAATCATCTTCCTTCCATTGTGCCTATGACAGTCATCAGGAGCTCAAAGGCCACAAGTAAAATTTAGATTTTCATTTTGTTGTCCTACAAAGAATTTCTCATATTCCTACCTCTCTCATATCCCATAGTACTGTGAAAGAAATTCATGTTTTCATCAGAAATCTGTAAATTTTGATACATTTTCCTTACCTCAAACTGCTCTCATACATTATACATTTTCTTCCCAATGCTGTGGTTAAAACTCTTCACCTCCCAATTTTAGAGTTTCTCTTTTACGTGTCTATTACTTCCTCTCCCTCTCCTTCCTCTTCATCTGGTTCATCCTCATTCATATGTAAGGGATATTCCTTACCATATATATAGCTAAAGCTTCCCTCTCTCCCCATACTAAATAAGACTTTGACCCATGTTTCATAGCATGCTATACATAACCCCTGCATGTAATATTTTGATGACTACTTTAATCTATGTTCACATTGATTGTAAACTATATGTAGGATATATTCATGATTTCATTTCATTCTGTTGTTTACAACCATTCCTAATCTCATACTATGACAAGTACCTGTCCTGATGCATGAATCTGAGCAGTGAACATTTGTCACCTGGTGTTCAAACTGATACAAATTTCTTTAACTTCAAAGCTAGAGAAATCCCATTTAAACTGGAAGACTTTACAGTTATCTCTAAATTTTAAATTCTACAATGAGTGTCAGAGATCTAATGTTGTATTTCTACAGTATTAGGGTTAGTCATTTGTATCACATCTCAGTAATACTGATAACTCCCAACCATATCCAAATGCTTTAATCTTCAAAAGGTTATTGATATTGGTACAACAGAAAGATATATTAAAATTTTTATGAACTATATAAAAGGAGCACAAAATTAGTTTGGAATCTTTATTTGAGTTTTTCCTCAGATTCCTGTACTGTAATTGATGGTTATTTTCTGTATCAAGTAAGTTAATCCCAACGTCAATCTTTGAAAAATATTAGTTGCTATAAAGACACCCTATAAATGTCATTTAATCTATAGATTTTGAGTAAAGTTACTGACACCTCATAAGATGATGACCTTCATGCAATCAGAAGAAGGAAATAGAAGAAAATGACAGTTTATTGTAGAAAAAAATTCACATTCTGTCTGGATACAAGTCTGTATCTTACATTATTCTCAGAGACTCCAATATTCTAATCAGTTCTTCAAATTTTGGCCTTAAAAGCCTCTAACACTAGACAGCCTGTGTACTAAATCACCTGGATAGGCATGCACACACACAAGTGTTATGTGTGATACTTGACAACCCTTGCTAATGATCTATCACGTCTCAGAGTCCACAAAATAGAAGCGTCAAGAGATCTGACCAACTTTCACCTAAAGAGAATAACTGATTGTATCTTCACAGACTGGCAGTTTTCAATACAGTTGAATTCAGAGTTTGAACACTTAGACGCTGTAAATTAACATTACATAGGGGGAAAATTGTAAGAAAAATACCATGCATCATTTAAAAAGGTGTTCTCCATATCTCCTAAAACTAGCCCCAAACATGGAGCACTTCTGAATCTGCTTTCTTAGCAACGGCATTATAGGCATGTGCCACCATACACACAGCTTCTCCTCCTGTAAATGAACAGTGCCTTTGTGTTGGGTGGGGATGTGTGCAAAAATCAGAAGACAGAGAAATCACCATCAACTATTATGACTGATTGCCAATGGACTTCATATCTTCTTTAGATATGAAGCCCACAGTTCTCAAATCAAGCAACACATAAAAATCCCAAGGGATATGTTTCTAATACTTGGAACGCAGCATATCACTTAGGATTCTGTAGCAGCACCTATTCTTGTTGAATAGCTTTCATTATATATTTTACACCCAGACAACATTAAAATAATCCTTGATGGACTGACCTTAGGAGCAGTCTCAGATGTTACCACTAAAACAGATCTGTGATCATGTGCAGATAAAATTGATCATCATCTTGGGAAGGATATTCTTCAGAGTTTTCTAAGACCTGATAGGGAAAGTATAGTAAGCAAACCTTCAACATTACACCAGTTAACTCCATATCACAGAGCTGCGCCTGTGTTGAAGTGGTGTGATTGTGATAGAAAATTACATATTGAGGAGTAATGATGAACCCATCAGTATAAGGGTGGTTATGTGTTGACCATGAAACAAATACTTGTACAGTGTGGTGATGTCTTGGGAGACAGAGAAAGAAGAATGTTATCATACCTGAAAAACTGTCCTGCACCACACTGGAAATTCATATGGACTGATAGCAAGACAACAGCTTATTTTGCTGTTGTTATGCAACTCTACTGAGGCTAAGTCAAAGTTTCTGTCTCACCACACTGCTCACCTTTATGTTATTTGCAGTCACAGGTAATAATGGCCCTGTCCTCGTTACATAATACCTGCAGCATTCCTAGTCACATCCCTCTGCTGCTATCTCTGGGCCATAGGGGCTCTGCATCCCATAGGAGTCCAGATCCTGTATAGCTCATTAAAAACATACTAATAATTCAGGACCTTTATAAGACCAATTTGCCTCCAGGATCTCTACTGGAGACCAATTATCATCACCAATTACTCCTTCCTACACTTCGGGAAGGTAGAATTTAAACAACAACAACAACAACAACAACAACAACAACAAACAAAACCAATAAACAAATAGCAGAAACAAAAAAGGCAAAAAAAAAGTCATGGAAAGATGCATATTCATTGCCTGTTAAGATAATAAACGGGTTTCTGCTCGACTGGATCTTACTTTCTTTGGGAAAAAGTAAAGAAGGGTGACTTAAAAACCACCCAAAATTATCAGGCTTTTACTGATTGTGAATGATTTAAAGTACATAATCCAGCAAAACTTTACAGACAAACCCATCAGAAGTTTCTATATTTTTGTATGTGAACATAGCCTTGATTATCTGATCTGTCTTTTCAGCCCATTCAACAGTTTTTAAAACTTTTTAATATTTTTTCTTTTTTGTTTCCCTATTTTCTTTTTATTATATTTTTTATTATTTTATTACTTTAAAAAGTACCAATCCAAATTCCCACTCTCTCCTCTCTTCCCACTCCCTCCACACACCCTCTCACCCCTCCCTCTCCAGTTCTAAGAGAGGGCAAGGCACCCTGCTCCATGGAATGTCCAAGGCCCTCCCTACTATATCTAGGCTGAGCAAGGTATACATCCAAAGATAAAAGGATCCCCCAAAGCCAGTACATGCAATAGAGACAAATCCCAGTGCCACTGTCAGTGGTCTCTCAGTCTTCCCCAACTCTCAACCACATTCAGAGGGACTAGTTTGATCCCATGCTCATTCACTCCAGTCTAGTTGGAGTTGGTGAGGTCCCATTTGCTATGGCAAACTGTCTCATTGGGTGAATCCCTCATGGTCTTGATTTCCTTGCTCATATGTCCCACTCCCTCACCTCCTCTCATTCCCTCCACATACCCATCCACCATACCCCCATCCAATCTTCAGAGAGGGTGAGGCATATTTTTCTGTGGAAGGTCTAAAGCCCTCCCTACTTTTTCTAGCTTGTCCAAAGTATACATCCAAAGATAATAGGTTCCCAAAAAACCAGTACATGCAGTAGTGATAAATCCTGGTGCCACTGCCAGTGACCCTTCAGTCTGCCCCAGCCATGCAACTGTCATCCACATTCAGAGGGATTAGTTTTGTCCTATGCTTGTTCTTTCCCAATCCAACTATAGTTGTCAAGCTCCCATTAGCTTAGGTAGACTGTCTCAGTGGGTGAACCCATCATGGTCTTGACCTCTTTGCTCATATTCTCATTCCTCCCACTCTTCAGCTGGTCTTTGGGAACTCAGTCCAGTGCTTTAATGCAGGTCTCTGCCTCTGTTTCCATCAGTTGCTGGATGAAGGTTCTATGGTGATATTTAAGATATTCATCAGTCTGAGTACAGGAAAAATCATGTTCAGACCCCCTCTCCTCTATTTCTTTGGGTCTTAGCTGGAGTCAGCCTTGCAGATTACTGGGAATTTCTCTAGAGCCAGGTTTCTGCTAACCCTATAATGGTTCCCTCAGTCAAGATATGTCTTTCCTTGCTCACCTCTGTCTTTCCTCCATCTCAATTATCCCATTTTCTTAAGTTCTCCTCAATCATCTCCTTCTCCTCCTTTTCCCCTTTCAGCCTCCCTTCTCCCTCCAGACCCCATGCTCCCAGTTTTTGTCAGGCGACCTTGTCTGTTTCCCATTTCCAAGGGATCTATATATGTTTTTCTTAGGGTTCATCTTATTACTTAGCTTCTCCAGGATAATGAACTATAGGGTCAATGTTCTCTGTTTATAGCTAGTATCCACTTATACATACCACGGCTTATGCTGGAAAGGATGTGGAGTAAGGTGAACACTCATCCATTGTTGGTGGGAATGCAAACTTATACAACCACTTTGGAAATCAGTATGGTGGTTTCTCAGAAAATTGGGAATCAACCTACTTCAGGATCCAGCAATACCACTCTTGGGCATACCCAAAAGATGCTCAATCATACTACAAAGGCATTTGTTCTTCTATGCTCATAGCAGCATTATTTGTAATAGCCGGAACTGGAAACAACTTAGATGCCCCTCAGCTGAAGAATAAATAAAGAAAATGTGGCATGTTTACACATTAGAATACTATTCAGTGCTAAAAGACAATGACATCTTGAATTTTCCATCCAAATGGATGGAATTAGAAATCACTATTTTGAGTGACATATCCCAGACCCCAAAATGGTGAATATGGTAAAAAATTATTAAGAATTTTTTAATACAATGCCTTAACTGGCCTTTTCCTGTAATCAGATTGATGCCTACCTTAGTTTTCAGCACAGAACCTTCAACCAGCAACTGATGGAAGCAGATACTGAGATCTACAGCAAAGCACTGGGCCAAACTACCCGAGACCAGTCCAGAGAGGGAGGAGCAATAATAGAGCAAAGGGGTCAAGACCATGATGGTGATTACCATAGAAACAAATGATCTGAGCTAGTGAGAGCTCACTGATCCTGGACTGATAGTGGGATAACCTGAATAGGACCAAATTAGGCCCTCTGAATGTGGGGCTCAGTTGTGAGGCTTGGGCAGTCTGTGGAGCCACTGGCTGTGAGACCAGGATTTATCCCTAGTACTTGAACTGGCATCTAGGAGCACATTCTTTTTGGAAGGATACCTTGCTCATCCTAAATATAGGGATAAGGCCTTTGTCATGCTTCGAAGTGTCAGACTTTGTTGACTCCTCATAGGAACCCTTACCCTTTCTGAGCAGTGGCTGCAGGAGTGGGGTAGAGGGAAGGTGAATGAAGTGGAGGGAGGGGAGAGTGAAATGGTCTCTGTTTGTCTTGTGGCTGGGAGTAGGAGCTTTCATCCAACAGTTTATAAACAGAATAAGACTGTAGAAAATCACACACACTGGGAAGGCTTCCAAGGACAGCATATTAGTTCAACATGACTGAGTAGCTCCAAAAACCTTCCTGCAGATATGCAATCTTCTGGAAAATTTAAGCTTTGTCAGCCAACTTTCTATGTGTGCCGTATATGAAGTCAGGAATATGGCATGTATATGATATGTTCGGTGTTTCTTTAAGCGAATTTCAAAGCAGTCCATGCTCCTATGCTTGTTCACCAGTTTATCTTCTTACCTTTCTATGGAAGGCTTTATTGTATCTACCACTACCACCATGACTCCAACCCCTCTCCATGTATGTTAGAATACTTCCTAAGGCCATGTTCTACGAGTTTAGCATTGATCACAAGCCACAGATGGCATTTATAATTCCTTCATTCAGTTAATACTGACCTTGATAATCATTGTTTGGATAAAATTCTGATAATAATAATGAAACACAATTTTTCTATTCCAGGGAATCTTGATCCTTATTGGTCTAACCTTTACTGGGCTCTTAGAGATGATTAACTTTTTTCTTTTTCTCAATTTAAAGGATTTATTCATTTCCTTTTAAGAATCTCCATTATTTTCATAAAGTTGGTTTTAAGGTATTTTACTTGTGCTTCATCTCTATTGAAATTTTAAGGGCTTGCTGTAGTGTGATAGTTTTTCTCCAGTGGTGACGTATTACCCTGGTTGTTGTTGATGGTATTCTTACATGTGTGTCCAGGCATTTGTATTTTGGGTGTGAATATTGATCTAGGTGCCAATTTCTGAGTTTGTCTTTGTTGAATGTGTGTTTTGTTCCTTGATTTCTGTTTACTTTCTGATTTTCTGGTCTGTGTGGCTTGGAGTTTTGACAACAGGTGTAGTCTGTGGGTCTGCAAGAAGTCTTCATGCAAGTTCGGGCCTGGACTTCTGATATCTATTGTGGTCTTTGATGGAGCTGGGTGTCTCCATCAGATTTGGGTCTTGCTCACCATGATAAGGAGGGGGAAAGGGGATCAGTGATAATGTTGCGGGAACACTAAGAGAGTGGGGAATAGCTGTAGATGGGCAGCCTAATTGGACTTCTGGTAGCCAGTCTGGTCTCTGATTTACAGTGAATCTTTGCCTGAGTTAATTTACTTGTTCTTCTGACTGGTGTGTTCTCATCTGAGCAAGGGATGTACACCTCTATTGAGTATGGGGACATAACAGTAGGGGAAAGCAGTAAAAAGAGAAGGGATGGTAGCAGATTGGGTCTTTGGGAGCTCAGCTGAGGTGGTGGGAGTCTTCCACTGGAATCTGGGAAGCCTATTTGTTATTCTGACTGGTGTGTCCTGAACCCATACAGGGGATGTCTGTCCATCTATTTCTGTCTTTTAAACTTTGTTTTTCACATGTGGAGGACAATGAATCAATTTTTATATTGTCTGTTGTCTGTCTTTTCCCTGATAAATTTCTTATACCATGACAAAAGGCTTCCAGAGTTTACCCATTACAACAGTTGGTGTTACTTTAACTAGATGAGAATGCCGACAATAAAATTTCTTAAAACAATAGCCATTAAAACTGGCACAATTTAAAAATTCTGTGATGTATCATGCACTTTGGTAAATATACATGTACAAAGAAGTTGTTGTGTATCTCACTGGGTGGAAGATGATATAATTCAAGAAACAAGATAAAGGACAAAGAGAAAACTCTGTGGCAACAGAGTTTAAAGTGTGCATGCTCTTGTTGAACTTTATATGGAGAATCAAGTGGAGATGTTTATCAGGTTGTGAGGAGCCCTAGGGTAAGAGTAGTTTCACCAGGAGATGGATGTCAGGGGAAGTCAGCAGAGGTCAGCAGAGTACAAAGGAATGGGTTTTTTATGTCGTCCCCTACCAAGTACAATGTAAGAAACATATGGACCAAGGTTATTCCATGCCATAGTGAGGCAAGGAATGTGAAAAATAAATAATACAAAAAATAAAGTAAAATTCTTCTAAAATAAAGAATGATACAAAATATTGGAATTGGCCAGGCAGTGGTGACACATGCCTTTTAACCCCAGTACTCAGGAGGCAGAGACAGGCAGATTTCTGTGCATTAAAGGCCAACCTGATTTACAAAGTGAGTTCCAGGGCAAGCAGGGCTAAATATTAAAATATTTTCTTGAACAGATCCAGAGAAAAGAGTATCTGTCTATGATCTCATATATTCACAACCATTGTCCTTCCGTGTGAGATGGGAAGTCATTGAAATTCACGTTATTCAGTCTGTGAGGCAGAATCTTCTTTATTTACTTCAGAGTGTCATGAGATTAATACAAAACCAACTAAAATTAACAGAAGTTTATAGTAAAATAGGAAATATACATGAGGTTTTACCTGCTTCTATTTTTCTTCTTTCCTTCATCTTAGAGAAGTAAATTGAACAACTCCTGGTTTTTAGTCAATTTCAAATTAACATAAAATCATACAAATGACAATTATACAAATCAATTTCCCTAAACTTGTTTAGGTACAAGACTAACCAAGAAAAATCAATATATGAAAAAATTATGTTAAAATAAATGTAGGAGAACCTGTAGGGAAAGGAAACTGGATGGTGGAGAGAATTCACCATTATTGAGTGCCATGAATCCATTACTTAAACTATTTTTATTGATGCATTAGTGAACATGGAAATCAGGAAAAAATGATAAAATGTTGCAGCAACTTAAGAATGTAAAGAATAAAGGTCATATTAGATAATACTTCTTCCAAACCCATTTCTGGATTTATTTATGGAAGGTAAGAAGGAAGATATAGACAGATATAAAAGACAATCCTATTTTAACTACTCAATAAAATACCTCTCTTTTGTGTATTTTTTTTTTTTTGAGACAGGGTTTCTCTGTAGCTTTGGAGCCCGTCCTGAAACTAGCACTTATGGACCAGGCTGGCCTAGAACTCACAGAGATATACCTGCCTCTGCATCCTATGTGTTGGGATTAAAGGCATGTACCACCACTACATGGCTCTCTTTTGTATATTAAACAGTTATGTAGCATGCACTTTCATGTAGTTCCCATGATGAAGGATGAGATCTGACATAAAATATTAACATCATTGCATTTATTTCATAAAATTAAGTAGAAATGCCAAATGCTGTCATTACAGAGAGATTTTCTTTCTAGAGATAACTCTTCTTAGGGCCCCCTTTATGTCTCTGTTCTTCAGGCTGTAGACGAAGGGGTTTAGCATGGGAGTCACCACTGTGTACATCATAGCCATGAGAGTTTCCTTCACAGTAGAGTTGTTAGCTGATGGACATAAGTAGAGACCAATAATTGTCCCATAGAACAGTGAGACCACAGATAGGTGGGAGCCACAGGTGGAGAAGACCTTGTGGATGCCCTGGGTAGAAGACATCTTGAGAATGGAGGATACAATTCTTGCATACGACATCACAATGAGTAAGAACGGTATAACAACAGTGAGTCCACTACTGATAAATATCATCAATTCATTTTCATATATATTTGAGCAGGCCAGCTTGAGGAAAGCAGAAAGGTCACAGAAAAACTGGAGAATCACACTGTTTTCACAAAAAGACAATCTAGCCACAAGCAGGGTGTGAATCATGGCTAAGAATATTGTCAGCATCCACAGTGGCAGCAACAGACAAGCACAGAATTTGGGGCTCATGATGCTGGTGTAATGAAGAGGGAAGCAGATGGCCACATAGCGGTCATAGGCCATGACCACAAGAAGGAAACTCTCCATGTCTCCAAAAACTATTAAAAAGTACATTTGTGCTAAACAATCTGCATAGGGGATGGATGGGTCCTGGGTCAGCATGTACTTCAGCAATTTGGGCATTGTGACAGAAGAGAAGCAGAGGTCAGAGAAGGACAAGTTGCTGAGAAACAAGTACATGGGTGTGTGCAGATGGGAGTCTAGTAGAATGAGGATGATGATGATGAAGTTCCCCATGACAGTAGTGAGGTACATGGCTAGGAACAGAACAAAGAACAGGTGCTGGTTTTCTGGGGGGATGGGCAGGCCCAGTAGGAGGAAATGGGATATGGCAGTGTGGTTGTTTTCAGTCATGATCTGCTTCCAATGACTTCAAGAAAATTACTAGTTTCTTAAACTGCCAGTAGTTGAGCCTGTATAAGATCATAGATCAATTCCATTGTTTCATCTCATTTAGAAAGACTTTTTATCCTTTGTATTCTTTAATTTTTTATTCTTTGTTTCACTATGACATGGGACATCCTTAATCCCTTAACTTGTTTAGTTGTCCTTGATAGATGATGACATACTAACCCTGTTCTTTTTACTCTGCAGACACTCCCCAACACATTTCCGTATCCTAGGGCAAAAAGACACGTTTCTGTGACACACATAGTATATTGCATACTCTACAGTAATTGATCTTACTCTATTCAAAATAAATAAAATCTCTACATCCAAATATGTTTAGTCATTTTATTCATGAATGACTTTTTTAAATGTTACTTTAGCATGTTCTACTATCCTCTTTGCCTAATCAGTCCTAATTACTTCTAATATGCAAAATTTATTGGTATATCTCTTTTCTGCCTGTCTGATTATTCTAGACAACTATAATTCACCCCATTCTTTAGTTCCCTTTTCTGTGAATTTTCTTGAAGGATTTTTGTACACCCAGTTCTCACAATTCTGTATGAGCTCCAAGAAAAACAAATATATTTTAATGTGTTAGCAAACCAATTAAAAGTCAGATGCAGCTGCCCCTCTAGCCTACAGAAGTCTCTGACTCATTGATGACTAGTCATTATCTATGATTTTTTAATCACTGGCATCAAAGGCTCAATGCATCCTGAGAAAAATGTATTCCTTTCTTTCCCAATATCTCCTGTTTTTCACATCTCTTGTTTCTCAAAATAAAAGGAATTTAAGACCCAGAATATTAGTTTTATTGTATTTTTTCCTTTTTCCTTACCTTGACCTCTCATCTAGGATGACATATAGTCTCTCATCTTAATCCTCTTCTTATTCAGGCATCTAAAATCATCCAATAATGGTATTAGAAAGGGATACTACCATTTCTTTCCTGAAATACTGAGGTCAGAATTCAATTCCAACCCAAGTCACATGTCTCAATACTATTTTCTTCAGTATGTTTAACAAACTGCCATTCTGTGGTGACATTACATTCCTTGTTTTACTGACTTATTCCTCAGATGACCATCTTGTTCTTAAGGACAAAATTCCTGCCTGGCGATGGTGGCGCACGCCTCTAATCCCAGCACTCGGGAGGCTGAGGCAGGCGGATCTCTGTGAGTTCGAGACCAGCCTGGTCTACAGAGCTAGTTCCAGGACAGGCTCCAAAGCCACAGAGAAACCCTGTCTCGAAAAACCAAAAAAAAAAAAGGACAAAATTCCTGCCATATGCACAAATGATGTTTATCTATCTGACTTGAACGAATGTTTACAGTATGGTCTCAAAGTGTGCCTGCATTCTTTCCTTCAAGCAATACTGTACTCAAAGTGAAGTTTGTGCCTCCATCATTTCTGATTTAATATTATTTTAAGAATATAATTAATATTCTTATTACATGATCTCCTCAACAGCATGGTCTGTTCTACATATATTTCCAAAATATGAAATTCCATGTGCTAAATTAAATTTTTTCTTATGTGCGTACACACAATAAAACCTCCTATCATGTTCCATCAGCATCTTGTACTCCTCTCACAACTACTAATCACTCTGATCACTGGCTCACAGCTATTGTTTCCATAGTCTGCGCTTCATGCGGGAAAGGCTGTGCTTGCCCTCATCCCGCAGCAAGGCCAGCTATGCCTGGTTATGACCCAATGTCCATGAAGATTTCCTGACTGTGCTGTAGCCTAAGAAAAGCCCTCTTTCAAATTTAAGGCAGAAATGCATATTAAACTCAAATAATTTCTCTTTCTCAGTTTCCCCAGAATGTTAAACTCATTAAATTTGATAATTTAGAATGAGAACTTGATACTTTGTGATTAGTTTTATATATGCAATGGTGTATTTATGGAAAGTATTAGGGGTTAAAATGCAGTTTTCTTTTCAATAATACTAATGACTCAAAATCTTTATGCTTCAATTCATATGATTCCACTGATGGTGATGCAGAAAAAGAAATACCATGAACATTTTATACAGTAGTCGGCATTTTTATCCTCCACTTGATTTCATCTCCAGATATCCATACCTAACCTTATAGTTAATTATTATAGTAACTGTTAAGGTCCTGATAGAAATTATGGTCAAATTATAATACTGGAAATTTCTATAAAAGGTTACATTGTTATTAACATTTAGATCAGTTATTAGTGTTAAATCAAAGTAAAGCAATTCTAATCGTTTATAATGTGACTAAATTTATATGAGCAACTGGAAGAAGAAAAAGAAAAACTGGTCTTCTTAGAAATTGTAGACACACTGCCTTGAATTTGAGACTGTAACTCCACTCTTTCCAGGGAGTCCATTCTGCACCTTTTGGACTTAGTAATTCTTAATTGTGTGGGCTGTATCTTTAAAACAGTTCCATGTCTTGTTATGTTTTCTTCTAGTTAGCTCTGTCTAATGAACCCTAGCCTATATCAAAGCTTTCAAAATAGTAAAGCAGAAGCACAAAGATATGTGGGGACAGGGTCTGGGCATTTGGCTCAGTGGTCCTGTAGCTATCTAGTGCGCTCAAGTCCCTGAATTCCACCTCTAACTGAAAATAACAGAAGAAATTAAATGACATGAGGTGGGAAATGCTTCCCTGACACTATCTGACTGAGTTCAGATGCTTGTGTCTTCATCCTGTTAATGGTCACTAGGGCAGCTGCACTAACAGTTTAAAACTCTGAGGTTATGTTTAGTAACAAAGGAAAGAGGAATACAGGAGAAATTGTGCAACATTTTCAAAGAATTATTTGTATTCGGTGAATGAGTGGGGACCATGTCTTATGGAGACTTACATGAAGAGATTGCAAAGCAGAGGTCACCCGTGAAGCTTGCTGCTGCTGACCTAATGGACTTCACTTCTTCAGTTTTCAATATTACCTGAATAGTGGATGAGAATCTCCCATGGACATGGTTCTAGCAGTTAGCATACATGCAACTCACATGGGATTCTCTGAAAACAATGACACTTGTTTTGAAGCTGATATTCAACTTTATAAATGAATACTCAGGTGATGAATACAAGGCTCTGGTTGATGGGTTGTGGTAAGGAGCAAGTACATCTATTATTTAAAGTTATAGATTTCTGAGCTCTTTTTGATAGATCTCTTCCATATTTGCTAATATTCCACAGTTAAAGATGTTTTAAAAGAATAATTAACAACTCCAGCATTGCCCCTACCCAGTTAATAGGTTGAAATTAAAAAATGCCCTATGAGTAATTTAAACCTAAACATCAACAAAATTATTATCAATGTAACTGAGCAACAAAGAATTTCTACAGCATGATGAAGTATTGCACTACATAAAAATGCAAATAATTTTTATCATACCTGAAATTTACTAGTCATACTTTGATAAACTGGAAATGAAAGATTCATAGGTTGGAGGACAGTAATGTAAATTCCTGACAATTTGTTTCCAATGACTGAAGGTGTATTTAGGTCAGTGCTTCAGACCTTGGTCCTCTTCATTTATTATAAGCATAGGAAAGAACAGCCTCTGTAATCAATACCTTCTTACATGTCCCTTTCTAGCCATCTCTGGACCCAGGGACTCTATCCCAGAGGAGTTCAGTTCCTGCTTTACTCATTAGAGATAACATTAATGGTCCAGGACCTATCTAGGACCAATTTTCTCAGTCTCCTGATGTGGGAGCTGATAATGGTCACTGATGAATCCTGAATAGACTTATGGGGAATGTGGAAAAGAATATAACATCAATTTATACCTACTATTTACCTGTTTATGTAATGGAAAGATTTATGTGTAACTCCAGTTAAGATATTTGTGTAGGCTAAGGGTGGGCTATTTGAAAACCACTGAGGTAATTATAAAGGATTTATGTTTAATAAATGACTGCTTTGATCTTGACTATCAATCTGTGGAGATGGAGTTGTTCTCAGAATTCTTTTGTTGTTCTCTAAATTTCATTGGCATGTGTATCATGCCTCCTATTTCATTTCTCATCCAAGTTACATACTTCCCTTTCTTCATTTAAGTTCGACTAATGGACTTTTTATTTTTATCACTCTATTAATGAATTATTTTTGGTTTTATTGCTTCTTTTTATATTTGCTTTTCAATTTCAACTGATTACTACTGTATGTGTATGTGAGTGTGTGTTTATGTGTTTATGCTTGAGCATACAATTTCTTTTTCCCTGCTTCCTTTGAGTTTAAGGTATTCTTCTTTTTCTAGGTTCCTAACACAATTAACTTTAGATCTCTGTTCTTTTCCAACATGTGTGTACTCCAGCATAAATTTGTCTTGAAAAACTATGCTTGCTGTTTTCCCAACAATTTTGATAGTCATATTTTCCTCTGCATCAAGTTCAAATAATTTTTATGTCTTGGAAATGTAATTCTTTTTATCAGGATTTAGCAAAGAACAATGACAACAAAAGAATGAAACTATTTATATATTGGGGAGTTTGGGGTTGAGCTTTTCATAGATAATACATTGTTCATGCAGAATTCCAGAATCTTGGAAAAGCATTCTAGAACTTCTAAGCTTCAACGTCATAGGATTAAAATCCAACCTCTTAAAATATTTTCCAGTAATTAATTCTAGATAGTTTGTAACCAACTTTTCAAAAATATATCAATTTCTCCCTTTTACATGGGAATATAATCAATCCAGTGTCTCAGAAGCTGCCTGAAAACAAAGGTGGTACCAAAATTCTATAGTGTTGGATTTTCTTCTCCAAATATTTGTTTATGGTAAAGTTTCCTTTAAGAATTAGGCAAATAAAGACTAACAGCAAATAGTAATAACAATTAGTCATAATAGTAATTATCATAATTAAAGCCACCTAGAGATCTCTATTTTCTTTCACAAAATATACTGTATTATATATACATAAATCATATATGTTACAATATACTGAGTATACTACTTTTGATCATGA